CCAACCCCTTTCATTCCCCTGATAGGTGGAGAGTTGCCCATATAGGCGGAGCACCCCTTTTCTGACGTCAGAAAAATTCAAATAATAATCAGATCCGTTGAAGCCCCGTTTTTAGGGATTTGGGTGTGGAGGAAAATAGAGAGGGTTGTGTTTTCTGACACTTGGTGAGTTCCCTGACACACCGGGGACACATATTCATGTATAAAAAACGTACAAAAGTGCATTTTGCGTGATAGGTCCCCTTTAAGTTAACTAGCTAAATTACAACCCCCCCCCTCCTCTTTCCAGACACGCTCCCCTTGCCTAAAGCCAAAGTCTAACGGATATCCTGTTTTACTTTCTCTCATGTTCCTCGCTTTCTACCCCCCCACCATGCTCTCTAAAAACACATTACCAGCCACTTACCACTATTTAGGAGAGCATCGATTTACATTAAACCAGCAAAATATGTCACCACACGCCCTGGTCGATGCTTTTTTTTGTTAGCTCTCTTGCTAATGTCCCTGGCCATTTGTTGGGACATGCTAATGTGCTAATCAGAGCGGAAGGAATGTTTAGCCTGAGGCATCAAAGTTTTGGGTACACTCGGGCCCTCTGCCAGCGAATTCAAGTTATACAAATGCATTAATACACATAGACACATAGGTCACTGAAGGGGACATTACCTACCTACAAATTCCCTGGTTGATTATATTTATCCGAAAGTGACAAGTGACTACAACTTACACACATGCTACATCAGGTTTAATATGAGCTAGTATGTATGCAGAGCTGTACAACTATAGCTGCTGCATAGAAGATGTGCTGAATATATCAAACAAAATATAAGTCTTTGTGAGATATCAGCATTTGTTTAATAGTATATTTAGCAGTTTGGATGAGGGAGGTGACATACACACGGTGCTCTAGAATTGTCTCTGCACACGAAACGTGCTTATACATTATGCATGCATGTGAGGATTGTCATGTCTGCCTACACATCTGTTAGTCTATACATACAAGAATGAACATATATTTTGGTATCTGACTGCCTGTGAGTGTATATGTCGGGAATTCCATGAATTCATGTGTGTGAGGCAAAACAGGCCAGGCGTAAGGATGGCTCAGGGTTGACTTTGACTGACCCCTCAGTTAGGGTGATGAGATGGTTTCACACCTGGTTTTTACCCACAGACTACACATGAATATGCACAAACCTGATACATTTGGATGGAAAATAAGGAGGAAAAGAAGTGCACAAATTCTCACAAAGGCATATACAAAGCATAGTTCAAAATCTAACCAAGCCTTTTTGAATCCTGTCTTATAGCCAGCATTGGGGCAACTGCCTTGGTAGCAAAAATAAGTAACATTGTAGATGTCTATGAGAAAATGACCTACTTCTCACTAGATGTATGACCTCACTAAACACTATAGTCTCAATTGCTCGTTGCAAGTATTTTTCAATAAATATGATTCTAATTGTGTAATTAATGGTCCAATTTAGAGTTAAATAGACAATAACGGAGCATATGCTTTAAGGCGGGGCTAGGTTGAACGAAAGTTGCTACCATGCTTTTGTTCTGCTTAGGTATTGTCTGTGTCTTTGAATCCAAACTCTTCACGGTGCTTTCAGTTGAGAGTCAATTATAACATTATGTTCGTCTTTGAATATTAAGTGTTAATTTACCAAGCTAATATATGAAGTTGATTAAAATGTAAAGCATTTCATGGTTATTCATTAATTAAAACAATTAATGCAGCAGGTACTGTATGGGCCTCTGAAATGTGGCAGGCTCAGCTATAAACCCCATTACATTTCAAATCAATTTCTTCAATTAGTTTCATTGTGCCAACACATTTTCAAGAACATAAAAAAGTTTCCCTTCGCAGGGTTAATCCTGTATACTATATAGACACCAGATATATCTCGCAATATTTTGCAGGGGTCTTTTGTTGATTTTCCTTCATTCCCAATAAAGTATACACTCTTTCTTTGGATGACAGCTACGAATATCGTGCCAGGCCTAACAGTCATCAGTGTTGTGCCTAGAAAGATCCTTGTCAGATTTAACTCTGCTAAGATAGCCACCATTGATGCATATCAGAGATAGTTATCACAAACAACAACAAGAGATCGAAAGACAAGTACGTGGCTGCCTAGCAACAACAACACGCCTCTCACTCTTAATACTGCCCATCGCTGTGATCGGGATTAAAGCCTTGGGTTGGGAAAAGCTTGCAATGTATTTTGCTTTTTAAGAACTCAGTTTACGTTTTGTTTTCATTGGTGGTCATTTGTCACCAACCGGAGGTCAGAGTCCATGCACCGTTTTGTTTGCCACTACATCATTGAGACT